TTCCTTCCTTCCTTCCTTCCTTCCTTCCTTCCTTCCTTCCTTCCTTCCTTCCTTCCTTTTCTTCCTTTCTTTCCTCTATTGGGTTTGAACTAAAGGCTTGGTGCTTTCTAGACAGGGGCTTTGAGCTCTACCTCCAGCCCCTTTTGCTTAGGTTGCTTTACTACTACTGCTACTACAGCTGCTGCTGCTGCTGCTGCTGCTGCTGCTGCTATCATTAATTTTGCCCTGTGCCAGTCTTGACCAAGATCCTCCTTCCTGTGTTCTCCCACAGGTGTGGAACCTTAGGCAAGCACCATCATGCATAGCGTATTGACTGAAATGGGGGTGGCGCTAACTTTTTGCCCCAGCTGGCCTCCGACTCCCATCCTGCTGATCTCTAACCTCCTGAGTAGCTGGAATTACAGGTGTGAACTACCGTGCATGAAAGCGATAACCTCCACATGTCTTGAGGGTCAACTCCATGTCGGGTGCTGACTCAGACCCCAGGCCGTAGAAGCCAGAAGCCTCTGCCTGCTAGAGCCAGCTGGCTCGTGCACAGCCTAACCGGATGGGTGTGCCTGCCAGTCACAGGCCGAGGCCCTCAGCCGGCTGGGCTGGGCCTACCCTGGACTGGGCGCTCTCCAGGGCCACGCGGGCTTGCTGCTCTGCCTGCTGGGTCATCTCATTCCTCATCTGCAGGTCTTCCTGCAGCTGCTTTCTCCGCTGCAGGTGGTTCTGGCACTGGTCCACCTGGGCCTGCAGCTCAGCCACCTTGGCGTCCAGCTGGGAGATGGTGACGTCTCGCTCTGCCACGTCCTTCTCCAAGTTCGAGATGTTCTGGGAAGAGCCAGATGAAGAAAAGTGGCCACGTGGCTGGAACCACTCCTTCGGGGGCCCCACTGCGTTTCCCTGGTGTTCTCTGAACCCAGCTCAGCCCTACTCGTCACAAGGGGCCTCTGGATAAAGAGGTCGGGACTCAGCTGCTGAGATGCTTCAACCCCACCTGTGTGTCTCAGCAACCTGACGCGCAGCCAGGACCTGCCACCCCAGCGCCCCCTGGCCGTCACCTGCCGGAAGATGAGGTTTTCCCTCTCGATAAGGCCCATCATCTCCTGGTGCTTCTTTTCCTCCCGGAGATTGGAGAACTGGAAGGCAGACGGAGGGTCAGAGAACACGCAAAGCAGCCTGCCTGCCCCCGAGGGGGAAAGGTGGGGAGTCTGTGGAGAGGAACCTGGGAAGGTGGGGTGGGAGCCGGGGGATATCGGACGCTATGGATCAAAGCAAAGGAGTCCTCAGCCGCCGGCTCGCTTCACACTCCCGTTCCTGGAAGTCTCAGAAAGTGGCAGCACCCGACTCAGAAGTCTGGACATTGAAGAGCCCCAAACTTTCCCTGGACCTTGTGCACCAGGAACATGCCCTGGGGCACCCAACTTTGTGTTTCCTGTGATGCTACTGAGTTTGAGCCCAGTGGGGGGCCTTAGGCCTGCAGGACCCCTCCCCAAGCCCAGGCAGAGCATGCGTAACTCTCAGCCTCTCTCCACCAGGCCCGAGCACTTGCAAGCGAGGCCTGTGTCTGCAGGCAGACATCCCTCCATTTCCTGGCTTCCCTGAGGGATCAGCCAAACTGACAGGAAGACCTGGACGGCTCACATCCGTCCTCTGGGGGACACGGCTTCTCCACGGAGCACTCTGCGGTCACCTGTGCACCCAAGCCTCCGGGCAGCTCTGCCCTGGAGTAAGTGTCCCTTGTGAATGACAGGAAGCAAGACACACTGGAAGGGCGTGTGTAGGGTGCAAGTGTAAGGGGCAGAACCACAGCTGTGCAGAGGTCCCAGCACTCGGGAGGCTGAAAGGAGGAGGGCCGCGGCCCTGGCTGCATATTGAAATCACAGAAGATTCCGGACTGGGGCTGGGAAGGTGGCCTAGTGGTAGAGTGCTTGCTTAGCAAGCATGAAGCCATGGGTTCCATTCCTCAGTACCACATACACAGAAAAGCCAGAAGTGGTGCAGAGATGTTGAGGAACAGTGCCCAGGCCCTGAGTTCAAGCCCCAGGAGTAGGAAAAAAATAGTCCAGGCTCACACCTGAAATCCTAGCTACTTAGGAGGCTGAGATCGCAGTTTGAAGCCAACCCATGCAGACAAATCCATGAGGCTTTTATCTCTAATTAACCAGCAAATGAGCCAGAAGTAGAAGCATGGCTCAATGGTAGAGGGCTAAACCATGAGCAGAAAAAAAACTGAGGGAGAGCTAAAGAGCCTGAGTTCAAGCCCCAGTACCAGCACAAGAAAAAAAAAAAGAGGAGAGGGATGGAATGGGGAGGGGAGAAGAGGAGAGAACAATAATAAATTGTTCCAGAACTAGAGACAAGTTTCCAAATTGCCACCACGTGCTCCTGCAGCAGATGAACACGCAGCTCATTCAGCAGGCCCAGCCCTGAGAGGCCTCGGATCACCTGGAACAGTCAGGCTCTCCCAGCCAGCCGGTACGGGCCATGTGAGAGGACAAAGCTTGGGTGGCTGGGTCCCCACCGTGGGTGGGTGTGTGAAGTGAGGGGGTGGGTGGCTGAAGGGAGTGTCCTGTGGGGGGACAGCAGGGCGAAGAGGGGAGCATTGGGTTCTGACAGAGAGAATCCTGTAATGGTGTTATAACCACGCTTTCTCAATACAAGTGTGTGTGTGTGTGTGTGTGTGTGTGTGTGTGTGTGTGTGTGTTGGGGTTTGAGCTCAGGGCCTCAGACTCTTTACTCAGCTTTACCACTCAAGGCTGGGACTTGACCACTTGAGCCATACCTTCATGTTTTTTTTTTGTTTTTTTTTGTTAATTTTTCTGGTTCATTGGTGATAAGAGCCTCACAGACTTCTCTACCAGATTGGCTTTGGCTACCAGCACCCACGTAAGATACGGGGTTTTTCTAAAGACTGTGCTAGAAATGTTGAACGTGGTTGCTTTGGGACAAAGATAAAGGAGAAAAAGAAAAACAAACACACGAACCTATCTGCTTCTGTGATAGGCATCATGACTCCTTCAGATTAAAAAAAAAAACACCAAAGAATGTGAAAATCCTTCCCAGAACAAGAGTTGGCGGGGTGGATTAGCACCCTCAAAGCATGGCTGGGCCTCTGCTCCAGATGTTTGGGCATCGTGATATAGGAAACAGACACTCACACTCGGGGCCTGAGGAGTTGGAATCCTGGCTCTGTCTCCACCACCATCAGCTGTGGAGCTCTAGGCCAGGTGCTCAGAGACTGTGACCATGAGGCCCCACCCCTAGGCCGGCTGGGCCGGGCCAGGCCTCTGCGAGCGGCCGCGGGCTGGGCGAGCACAGGCCAGCGAGTCAGATCACCTTGTCGGACATGGCCTGCAGCTGCTGCTTCCGCTCCCGGAGCTCTCGCTTCAGCATCTCGTTCTCCATGTTGACCTTGCGCAGCTGGGATTCCTGGAAATCTATTTGTCGGTGTAGGGATGTGATGGCTCCTGCAGAGGTGGGAGGAGCGAGGGATGAGAGCCAGGTGTGACCCCAGCCCCCCCCCCGTCCCCCAGGCCCAGAGAGAAGGACTCGCTCGGCCCCTCCCCGACCTCCCCCCAGCAGAGAAGGGCGAGCAGGGCCGGGCCCCCACCTACGGCGAGGGAGTGCCGGGTCCTGGTGAGCTCCAGCTCGTTCTGGAAGTCCAGGAGCATGCGCTCGTACTCCTCCAGCTGGGCCAGCAGCTCCTCCTCGAAGGAGTCGGTCAGCGAGTACAGCTTCCTGACTGGATGCTCGTCTTCCTCGGGCAGTTCCCACCCATCCTGATCCTCCTCCTCCTCTTCCTCCTCCTCTTCCTCTTCCTCCTGCTGCTCCTGCTGCTCCTCCTCCTCCGTCCTCTCCGCGTCCTCTGCTCTCTCCTCAGTGGCACCCATGCTGCCCTTCGCTGGAGCTTTGGCTGCGGCCTCCAGGTCCTTCTCCTCCTCCACTGTCCCCAGCTCCGGCTGCTGCTCCCTGGCGGGCTCCATCATGACCTGCGCCTCTTGCCTCTGAGGGATGGGGAAGGGGGAGGGGCGGACAGGGAGGTGGGTCCCCCCAGGACAGGAGAGGGGCCACCAACTCAGACCCAAGCAGCCCCCGCACCGTGTCCCTCCTGCCATCCGCACACTGCACCTTACCTGTGCCCTCTGAGGGCTGGTCTGACCCCCACCGCCTCACCCTACAACTGGGGAGGGCCGGCCCCAGCAGGACTGCAGGTTGGGGACCCTAGCTCCTGGCACGGCCCCGGGTGATGCTGGGACCAAAGCCAGTTCCGCACCTGAATCCAGAGCTGCATCTCCTCCTCATCCTTGTAGATGTTCTTCAGGACGCTCAGCTGCCCCATGGACAACTCCTGTGGGACACCCCATGTGATGCCCACTCCCGAGAGACACCCCGCCTGGTGATGCCCACTCCGCAGGACACCCTGTATGATGGCCCCCCAAAGTCCTCCAGGTGTGTGGGGGACTGCAGGGCCGGGCTGGGGGCTGCGGGTGGGCAGCCCTGTGGGGCAGCAGGGCCCGGACCTCCTGAGAGCAGGTCCTGAGCAGGCAGCCTGGTGGTGAGGCGTGCCCTTGTTTGTAGGAGTTGAGGGAGCCCAGCCACACACACACACACGCAGAGTCTCCACCCAGTGGCCCCAGGTCTGGGCAGCTTCCATGCATTGCCCACATTCTTGAGTCTCCACCTGACCCCCTCTCTCCCTGCCCCTCATGTCAGCCTGGCACGAGTCCAGGCTGCATCCTCTGGGGAAAGAAGTCAAGTGTTGGGAATGATGAGGGGACCCACCCTGGGTCCTACCCAGACTGGCCTCCACCTGGACCTCAGGGCAGGTGGCACTCTGTCTCCACTTCCAGTCCACCTGCAGGCTGGCCGTCCCCCTATCTCTGACTTCAGAGGTGAGCTCTGCCCTTCCTTTATGTGGGCCTCCAGCGGGCTGGGCCCTTTGGAAGCAGAGCCCACAGCTCATGGGGGTCTTAGAGCCCGCCCTGCCCACGGGCACAGGCTCACCCTCCTGGGTAGAAGCTCACCCTTCTGGTAGAGGCCACAGACAGCTCCTGGCTCTTGCTTCTCAGGAGGGCGGCCAGCTGCTTCTTGAGGACCTCTTTCTCCTTCCGGAGCACCAGGATCTCCTGGTCTTTCTTCTGTACCTGTGCCTCCAGCTCAGCGAGTCGCTGGATTTCTTCCCCCATCATAAGTAGAGAGTGATCCTGGCAGAAAAACAGAGGACGCCCTGGGCCACCAGCCCGGCGATGCTTGAGCTTTTGCAGCCCCCTTCCCAGCCTTCTTCCCAGCATACCACCCCCAGCCCTGGTGGAGCCCCAGATTCCAGGCAGGGTAGATCTACTGCCCGGACACCCTCCTCACCCAAACCCAAGGCCGAAATACTTAGCCCCTTAGTGCCACCCCGGTCTGACAGCAGACACTAAGTCCTATCCAGGACATATTTGGTCCCCCTGCCCGGCCTGGCTCCTGCCCACCCCCACCTCAGTACAGGTGCTAGGCTTCTATTCTGCCCTCACAGTTAAGCAGCAGCCCCCTCCAAGATCTTTGGGGTTCTGGAGATTTGTCAGGAAGCCCATTCAACCTTCCTTCCTCAAAACCTCAACTCCTCTAATGCTTCAGAATTGAAGACAAAGTAACATCTTCAAGCAAACAGGGGCTGAAATCAAGTGTCAGCAACAGTCTCTGAACTCGGAGGAATGTTGATAAGGAATTCTCCAGACACATCGGGGAATGGTCCCCGGCAGAATATTCTAGAAGGAGTGTGCACATAAAGCAATAACCCTCAGTATGGCTCACAGATCAAAGAAGAAATCACACAAGAAGTAAAGACCCATTTAGAACTGAATGACATCAGACATTTGGGTGTATCAAAACCTGCAGGATATAGCTAATGCTGTAGTTAAAGTCAAACTTATAACCTTGAGATACATCTATGAGGAGAGAATGGAACAAATCAATGACATAAATATCCAGGCTAAGAATTTAGAAAAAGAAGAATTGTACAACAAGTAGATTATAATCCAGTCTCTCACAACATGGGTTTAAAAACAATGAAAGGCTAACATCAGATGTCTCACACAGGAACCACTGCATGCCAAGTTGAAAATTATTATTTCTATTACTTAGAATACACGATCCAAAGTGGGAATTTCTGGGTCAACAGGTAATAGGGTGATTGCCAGTTCAAGTTCATGCCAGCGTTAACTGCCACCCTCTGGAATGGAGACAAATGGAGACAGAGACTGGTCAGACTTCTGGTTCATGGCAGCCCAAGTAGGGATCTGGGGGTGCTCTTAGGCCACATCCGGGCCTGGCTGCCCAGCAGCCTGTGGGTAGGCAGGGTGCAGAGCCGTGGCGGGTACCTTATCATGGATGACAGAGATGTACCAGGGCATCCTCCGTTCGGGAGTGACCAGGAAGCCCGTGGGGATGGAACTCAGGCTGGAGCTCAAGGTGTCCTTCCGCAGGTAGCTGAACTCGCAGGCGCTCTTGCTGAACTTGAGGGAGTACCCTGTCAGGAGGCAGAGGTCAGCAGCCGTCGGCCCTCCTGGCCCCGCTTGTGGAGATGCCCACTCCTCCTGCCTCCCTGAGACCCACGGGTGCCCACGGCTACCATCTGTCTCTTAACCCTGCCTTCATCCCACCATCCAGACATCCTAGCCTACAGGCGGCCACATGGAGGAGAGAGGGGGCCGCTCGGGGTGACCGCACCTGTCCACACCAGGCCCAGAGGACACACAGTGTCACGGGGGGTACAGGGTTCATCCAGATTCCCAGGACAAAGGAGCCAAAACCTGGGAGTCAGTGCGAGGGCTGCCCTGTGTGCCCTGTGGTCCACCCACTCCCAGGCTCAGCGTTCTGTCTCGATTTGAGGGGGCAGCATCTCCACTTCCCCAAGCCTGAGGGGAGCACAGACCCCACAGGCCCTGGGTTTCCTCCACTTGAGACAGCGGAGCCACGTTGGTGGAAGTCGTCGTCCGCGCGAGCGCTTGGTGGGTCCCTCCGGGAGTCTCCTCAGAGCCTCCGGAAGGGACAGACCCTCCCGCCACAGTTTTGCCACCACAAGGAATGGCTCAGCACGGGCAGAGCCATGCTGCACAGCCGTGCTCCACAGCAGCGTCTGGGTGGCCCAGGTGCTGGGGGGCAGGACAGGACAGGTGTCCCTGGGGAAGTGAGACTCCAGCCAGGGCCCCGGGGTCTCCTCACCATCCTCGTTCGTGGTGGAGCCCTGTCTGTCCAAGAGAGGTTCCTCAGCCACCCTCCAGTTTGGAGAGCTGACGCTCATGACCATGGGCAGGGTGACCATGCTGTCCGAGCCTGCGGGTACAGGGTGCCACATGTGACTGGAGTGGTCTCGCCGCCCCAGGAGCTCCAGGGCAGGGACTGTGGTGTCAGTGATCTTTTAACGTCAAGCAGGGTGGGGCATAGTGGTGTACCCCGGTCATCCCAGCCACTCAAGAGGTAGAGATTAGGAGGATCTCAGTTTTCCAGGCCTACCTTGGGGAAAAAGTGAGTGAGACTCCATCTCAACAAGTTGGGCATGGTGTTCATAACTATAGCCCAAACTACTCAGAAGACATAGTAGGTCTATACGGCCCACGGTCCAAGGAGGTATTCAGAAATGGCCTAAATCAGAGCAGGAGCTCCAACCTCCGGCTACCACGGTGTGTCAGCTGCACAGGGCAATGTCAGCATCCAGTGGACAGAATGTGGTGGACACAGACGCACAGCCAGCACCCTGCCGGACCCCTCAGCTCCAAGAGACACAGACGCTCAGCCAGCACCCTGCCGGACCCCTCAGCTCCAAGAG